TTTTTAGGAAATGAGTGAATTAGAGTAAGACACCCACACAAAGAAGTCCTCACTGTCTCTACAGTCTAAACTTTATCCAATCAGTGTTGCTACTTACTTTCAGTGGTGCGCTCTCTGGTGCTCAGAAGTTCAGAAGGATATCCTGGGGATGTTGCCTTCGTGTCAGCTTTTGCCTCTGTTTCTTCTGGAGTTCATACCTAGACTGGCTGGGGCTCCTTGCTTATATAGTTACAACCAGGTTTCCAGAATGCTCCCGCCCCCTCCTCCTCAATGACTGAAGTGTTAATATTAGAAACTAATGCAGCTGGCCCGGTGCTGGAGGGCTGGTGAATATTCCAGAGTGAGACGGCAATCTGACCCTCAGCCAGCAGGGTCGACTCAGAGGGATACAATGTGGAGAATGTGGCAGTAAGTCACATTTAGGAATTGTGATGTGTTATGTTGAAGTGTGAGCACCCATGAATGTCATTTTTATCCCCAAAATAATCCAAAATATTTACCTACTGAGCCAGGGACTCACAAAAGGCCTCTCTTTTATTTTCTGTTCTCAGTTTGTCATGGTAAAAAGACTCGCTTTATTGCTGATTTAATGCAATCGTTTACATAGATAGTATACACTTATGTCATTTCGATCACATGAAATATTAAAGTGATCTTGTTGGATCAAATTAAGACGACTACAATCATATGCCTGACATAAAGTCTAATATATATATATATATTTTGCCAACACACAGCTCATACATTATAGTTATACGTACAACCAGAAGCAGTGGAAGGAAGACAGTTAATGTACTTCTAATAAATGCAGTTTTACAAAAAGGAATGGTTCATATAATTAAGCTCAGCGCTAGTATTATGTTGTTATAAATCATTTAAAAGGCACATTCATATCATGGCCTCAAAGGTACTATCCAGTCAGAAAAACTCTTCAGTGAGGCGTCTGGAATTCAAGTGAGCAAATGGAAACTTGGGATGAAACGAGGGAAGATAAAGCAGTCAAAAAGTGTTTTACCAGCTCTCTGTAAGTCTTCTCCAACTTCCTTTTTAGGAAAGACATCAGCTGCTCCACACCCAGACATAAAACAACATCTTAATCTGTCATTAGCAAAACGACATTACTTGATCACAAGACGTGAATAAACAAGACTTCATCCTTTTGTTTATGTAACAGGCAACAGTTCATCATCATCACTGCTGTAATAAAAAGGATGACTGGATGTTACCTTTTAGGGCATGTATGCAGATACCATTGAAACGGATTATTTGACGTATATATAAAAACAAACATTTCTAAAATAATCTAAGTTGTAACACAGAGTTTGTTTTGGCTCAGCCTAAACTCTGGCTCAAGGAATGTACCCGGCAAATCTTAATGTCACGGTGGACAAAATCGAAAAGGTATCCTCTGTTTCATTCTTACGGCCATCATTTGGCACTGTGCGTAAATGGGGTAAACAAATCAGCAACTCTGTGATCTAGTAACATAATCTGAAGCAACTACATACGTGCACATACATCATAGCATGCAAGTAGGCTTTTGTTTAAACACCTGACAAGACGTGTAAAATGTTAGTTGGTTATATGTTTTCTACGTGACTTTACTCGTCCTTTTTTTATCATTTAACTCTACTTCTGAGGTGCTTTTAATAAGTTACATTCAGCATAAGTAAAATAATTCCTCCATTCTGTAGCTATTTAGAAAATAAAATAGATATCTCTGTTTGTTGCAGGGTAACTGTGCGTTGAGGATCGGGCATTCTCATTAATACCTGTAGAGAAAAAAACAAAACAAAAAAAGAGTTTAATTAAATACCAGTTTAAAAGGTGAAAATATGGACTGGTGCGTGATAATAGAAGCAGAAAAAGGCGGGAGCACCTACCGGTAATAATTAGGTTTGAAAGGGCCATTCTTGTTGAGGCCCATGTATTTGGCCTGCTCGTCAGTCAGCTCTGTCAGGTGGGCATCAAAGTTGGGTAGGTGCAAACTGGCCACATACTCGTCTGGGGGAAAGAGACAAAATGTGTGTGATGTGATCTTTTTAGTGAAGCCACAGGGTGGCGACAATGAGCAACCTTTCAGAGAAGCAGTAAAAACGAATTCGACTTCACAACTATAGTGATCCACACTTGCATACTGCTTATCATTTCTATACCAAAGTAGCACAGTTTCAGTTTAAACAAGGCTGATTCTTACCCATTTTCTTTGGAAGGAGATACACATCCTGTTTGTAACGTCCTTCTGGAGCATTAAACAACTCAATCAGTGCCAGGGCCTACAAAAAAACAGAGCACACAGTGTTTACATGACTCACAATCTGGG